AAGCTCAGCCTGATCCTTCAGCTCTGGTTTTCTGCTTCGACCTTTTAAAGTTTTAGATCTGAAGCAGTATTTCACAAACAGGTCACAGAGGAAAACAACACATCAGTACAGCTTTTATCTGATAGTTTACAATATCTGTCTGAAGTGTTTGGCTGTCAGATTACAGCGTTTATCCTCAACAGTTAACCATTTCCTATGTGGGCCTTTATTTTGAAGGGCTCTCTGTTTTTTGGGAGTGAGGTCATGTTGGCGGGGCAGTTCAGGTGTGCTACTGTGAAAATCATTTGTTTCAGCACCCGGCCGGTGAGCCTGTGAGACTGAAACAGCGAAACACTCGCAGCAGTTTGGGTTTTTAGTTTTTTTGTTGCTCAGTCTGACACAACAGCACCTCCTGCTGACCACTTTGGTACTGACACGTCTTGATAATATTATTCTACGAAAGGGAACCCAGCACTGCACACTTCTAAACCAGACTACACTTTATTCCTCACACAGGATCAGTTTATAATAATTAAATCTCATCACTGTATCTTTACTGTCTCCACACTCTTCTTCTACAATACTTGAGCTACAGCGTGTTAAACCTCACCACTAGATGTCAGCAGAGTTCTGTCTTCTACCCAACTAGCTATGGTGGCCGCTGTAGGACAAATATATTTTACCATATTAGAATAATATAAACAATTAGCGCTAAATAAAGAATAAAATAACTTTTATTTGTACTGTGGACCTGATCCACCCAGCAGTGTTTCAGTACATGTGTAGGCTGGCAGTCTGCTGTTTACCTCAGCTGTCATTGCAGGTGAGAAGCATGCATCTGTATTGTTCAGTGTGTAACATACCAACGAATGTGACGAATCGTCCGTGTGTTACACGTTGGGAATGATAATGCTCTGGGGGAGGCTGTAAAACTTTGTGAAAGGAGTATGATACGAGTCAGTGAGTCAGAGAAGCTCACTAGATGGCTTACATCTGTACACAAGACTGGGAACTGCTACTGGCTGGATTTGACTGAGGTCCAATCTGAAGACTATGGGAGGGTCTGTACGACAGTGAACTTCGAACGGGGTGCTGATGCCCTGAGGACTGTGGGGATTCTCCTGCCTCTGGACTTCAATCGACTGATTTGACTTACTTCTTAAAAAGTATGTGTCAATGCGAGGCCCCTTTCTCAGCTCGCTGAGGCACTTCTTCCTGCCTTGGTGGATGTTAAGGCCCATGTCAGTTGTTAGTTTTGACCAGCCACAAATTGATTAGAGCAGTGGAGAGTAGACGTTATCACAGTAGATGTCTTTCTGAAAGCGCTGTAACTAAGTTTAAGAATATAATCCACCCACTGTTATCATCTTCAATGCCCTGTACCAACACAGAGCAGAGCAGCTA